ACTGCCATAAGCATTGGCAAAAATACACAACTAAACTCACACTTAGAAAACTGACACTTGTATTTGTTAGACTTTGGCTATTTAAATGACTTGTTAATGGTCCAAGTCATACTGAAAGTCACAAGTTTGTCCTAAATGTGTGTTCGTGTTGTTCCAGCCATGATATTGTGACTTTGTTTATAAACATTGAAAGTAAAAAGAGTTTAAAATAAGAGTTTATACAGTAGATTTTATTTCAGAAGTTTGTTACACATTTGTTGTATAGGTAATGTAGCATGTGTGTTGAGGTTGTTCCTGGCAGTAACGCATATATGAATATATCTGAGAAAGCACTATGTACTCTTGAACACTGTTTTAGGGCTATTTTTAAACAGTTTATTCTCTTGAAAAAAATTATCTTTTTCAAAATTGTACATATAGTAAGATAAAGTAAGGATTTTTAGTTAAAATAATACTAATTGTACATTTCGGATATCAAAATAAGATTGTGCCACGTGCATAAAAACATGAAGAATATCTGCTAATTTGGCTGTGGCTGCACTTTAAAACAAACGGTGGCTGGGGGAATAAACTTAGTGGGTACAGGCATACCTTACTAATACGGCGGGTTAGGTTCCAGACCGCCGCAGTAAAGTGAACATCACCTTAAAGCAAATCAGCCTTTTTTCGTTTGCTAATGCATATAAAAGCCTAAAAACACATTTACACTATCGTTTATTAAGTGCACAATAGTGCTAGGCTTTAAAAAGAAGATGCAAAAGAAATAGAAAATAGTTCTGGTCCACTACTTTGCACTTCACGCCCAAAATAATAAATATGAATATAATCTAGAAGTGCCATATTAGCGAGGTATACCTGTATATAGATACATAATGAATATTGCCTTCGTCAAGTCAAACATTGACTGGTGGCGGAAGCAACAGTTCAGAAATGTATTAACAGGGTCATCTCCACTTGTAACATCACCCATCATATCCTAATTATTAAATCTTCAGAGATTTTGTTTATCACTGAGACACATGAAACCACACATCCATTACTGTATTTTATGGTGAACAAGACACTCCAGTATTGAGGACTCCCCCTGCCCTCCCACCTTTAATTCTGACTTGCTAAATTTTGGAAAAAAAAGATAAATGGTACTTTGGCCTCCAAGATGTTGGGTAAATTTTTGAGACTTACTTTTTTGGGAGAAAAGAGCTTCATGGATGCCATAAAATATGGTAATTGCCAGATATAAATTATAAGTGTACATGCTAAACATTGGAGGGAAATTAAAGCAAAAAAGCTGAAAGGTTATAATTCTAGTATTTTTGACTAGTCTCTTATCAAATAAATATGAGCTCACTACATGCATAAAAAAATGAATACAAAACTAAAGGAGTTTAAAATAAAAAGTTGTCAGAAATGCTTTAAAAATTGTTTATGGTTCAAAAACAGTAAAGCCAATCCACGAGAGGCAGTTTCTGTAGCAAGCAACTTTTTGAAAAACCAAAGTTTTTTGAAAGGCTGTAGCACAGAGGGTTCCCAGTATCAACCCTAACCGGGCGCATTTAATACACAAGTTCACAAAGACTTTTGCGAAATATTTTTATCTAAAACGCTAACGAAGCTTTCTCTTGCAGGTGGCCATAGTACTTTCTTCGGATTGATAAACAGTTTTGTACACATTGTCATGTACACCTACTACATGCTGGCAGCCATGGGACCAAACTACAGAAGGTACATCTGGTGGAAGAAGTATCTAACCAATTTCCAGATGGTACAGTTCATAATGATCTTCAGCCATGCTTTCCAGGTTAATAGCTTTGTTTTGTATTAACCCTAGAGCGGAGGTTGTCTTGGTACTAGTGAAGGGATCTTGATCAGGGAGTTAGAGCTGTCCACTTGGATTGAATCTCACTGTCTCGTATTTTCCCAGGTGCTGTATGACCCCTGTGGGTTCATCACTGTCACCATTGTAATTAATATTTAATAAATTGTTCCCATCAATCCCATCACTGTCTTGCCAGAGGCAAGACAGTGATGGAGTAAATGATGGTGAAAGTTTTTCTTTTTTTGGCCACCCTGCCTTGGTGGGAGCCAACCGATGTGTTAATAAAAATGTTCCCATTGAAGGAATAGAGTTTATAAAATATGTGATTTATAAAAAGGTTTGAGACTAAGTTATTAAAATACTGCATACCAAACTCCTGCATTATATGTAAAAGAATACATTGTTGAATTTATTTACATATTTGGACTTAAACCTTACATACCAGTTTTTTTTTTATCACTGGATTTTTCTAAATTTATTTAAAAATTACAGCTTGGCTTCACCGAGTGCAAATACCCTCGTGCCTTCATGTGGTGGATTGGTGGCCATGCTGTGTTGTTCTTCTTCCTTTTCTCTGATTTCTACATTAATGCTTACATAAAAGGAGCAGCCAAGGTTAAGGTGAGCACATTAGTTCAATCTTCTAATTGCACATACAATAGAACCTTGTGTAATGAAAGGTTCTAATTACTCGTGTGGTAGAACCTCTCATAACGCGAGGGTTATAGTCCAAGAACTATAGAATTTTGTGCTATGTAATGTGAACCACATATGGGAAAATTAGGATTAGGTTCAAGATGCCAAGAAAACCAAACTCATTTCTTTTAAAGTTCTTATTTCGTCAAAAAATACTGACTTTTGACACTTGACATCGTAGATGCTATTGCTAGTTTGTTTAGAACTGTATGTTAATGCACCCAGAACCTAAATAAAAATTGAGATTTTATTAGGTAAGGGCTGAGGAGGAAACAGGTGATCAAAACAATATACTGTATTTTCTTTCAACAAACCGGCCGTATCCCACTGAGGCAGGGTGGCCCAAAAAGGATAAAAAAGTTTCTCCTTTTTAAATTTAGTAATACATGCAGGAGACGGGGTTACTAGCCCTTTGCTCCCAACATTTTAGTCACCTCTTACGACACACTGAGGAAGAATTCTGTTCCACTTCCCCATGGAGGTACCGTATATTCCTTCCATAGTAATTGGAGGTTAATATGTTGCCAGTGATGGTTATAAATTACGTATAAAATCCATGACTTACAAATACATTGAGAATCTTCTGTATCGTATATATGATTATTATATATCATTGTGTATACATGTATCATTTTTATATATACATAGTTTAGAAGGTCTCTGTTTGTAAATTGAGGATTTGCTGTACACAGTTTAAAATATGCTAAGGAAATAACTGAATTTAACCCTACCTTAAATTCTTTATTACACTTTCTTGTGTGTGTGTTTTAAGGTTGTAGCTAAATTGACCAGTAAAGGTATGGGTCGTCTGTTAACCCTGTACATTCATTCTAGGATAGTAATTTTGTACTGTAGTTTTTTTAATATAGAAGAATGGTCTCTATAGAGGTAGCAAGTTCTTTCCTCCTAATGTACACGGCTTACAGGTTAAATTTCCAGTTTTTTTTTACAATAGTACCGGTAATTTTGTTATTCAATGCGCCAGCCATCTCCCACTGAAGCAGGGTGACCTAAAAAGAAAAATGAAAAATTTCTTTAATTTAGTAATTTATAAAGGAAAAAGGGTTTAGTAACAATACTAATGTTGCTGACTTATGACATGCATGGCTTACATAGGAAGAATTCTGTTCCACTTCCTCTATGGAGATGGATATAAAATGCCATTTTTTTTTTTTTGTTTACATACATACCTATGATAGTTTAACTGATAATTCTAGACTTTTTTGAATACTTTTTCACCACTTCTCTTAGGCTTTGCAAAACTGCCAGAAACACTACTTTTGCACTTTGGGGTCATTATTATGCAAAATTAAGGGTTATTTTCAGCCCATGGTAAATGTGGATAACAGAAATACCGAATCTGGATACAGGAGTTCTACTGTAATTAGATTGCGAAGTAATTATTATTTTGGCAAAGTATGATAGTAATTTATTTTACTGTATACTTGACATGTGTATAATTGAGATTCCCTTTTTCAGGCATATGCCAATGGAACTGTAACATTCTCGATGTCAAATGGTCATGCCAATGGAAAAGTCTCGAATGGCATCACTAAACTTGTCAATGGTCATGCCAATGGCTATGCTAATGGAAAGGCAAATGGTCATGCCAATGGCTATGCTAATGGCCATGCTAATGGTCATGCTAATGGTCATGCAAATGGCCATGCAAATGGCCATGCCAATGGCCATGCCAATGGTCATGCTAATGGAAGTATTCCTAGCAACAGTGTCCACTCGGAGGAGAACAATGGCCGTGTTCCCAATGCTCCAGACTCCACATCTTTCTCCACCAGAGCTCGGCAATTAATGTGTATGAATGTAGACTCTGTGATGGATTGAGCTCCCCCCCCCCCTCCCCTACTTTTTTCCACCCCTGGTTACCTCACAAGCCAGTTCTCGCCAGCATCATCTGACTATCATATTCGAGAGCTATCAACTTTTCCCCAATCCCAGTGTGTTTTAGCTCAAGGTTCATGGATTCGACAGTCTAGCATCTGTTGTCGGGCTATCACCTGCAGCAGTGCGTGTGCGTAAGATAGAGCAGCCTTCATTATCATTAACAATGTGAATCTTGTATCATGAGGTTGACTTAAGTTTAAATATATTTTTTTGAAGGATGCTCACAGCAATAATTTTGTCACCTGGCAGTAATTAAAGGTTTGTAAACTAGTTTGTCTGAAAGAAAACATTTTATAGCATATATCGAAGCATAGAAATGCCATACGCTTTTTAAAGTTCGAGGGAAAAGCATGTACAAAGAAAATGGCTGATCTGTACTGTTCGAACATTGGAAATGACCCCACCCAATGGTGGACTTCACTGTGAAGATCTGTGATTTATAACGTGTAGATCTGTCAGCTTCGTAAAAACTGCTTGCAGGCATAATGAACCTTAGAATCTACTGCTGTCAGATATAGCTTTTACGGAAGTAGCTAGAAAGATATGTGATATTTTGCATTTGTAAATGCAGTATTAAATACCGAAATGAAATGTTGGATTAGGTAATGATTCTCGTAATGAAATTATGGGCCAAACAAATCTTTAGACATTACAAAAATTAACAATTTAAAGCATTTCATTTTTAAGTGTTTTCTTATCTTTTTCTGAAGATTGTAGTTCATGTTTATTGCCAGTCTTGCCCATATTATAAGATTATAGCCAGTAGTGTATTAAACACCTCAAGGCTATATTAAAAGTAGTAGTTAATGGGGAGAAAGGGATTATGCAGTTGAACTTGTAGCAGCTGTCAATATATGCCATGAGGCAATGGCTACATTGAGGATATAAAGTGGGATTCACTTGTAATTTTCATACATGCTAAACCATTTATTAGGTCTTCAAAGCCTTTTTTTTATTCTGGTATTTCATGACATATTCTACAAACATTTTCATTAAAGCATAATTCTGGAAATTAAGTATACAGTAAATGTTTCTTGTATCTGTTCCTGTGTAAATTGTGGACTGTCTTTGTAATGCGGTAGAAAAAATTGGCATTTTCGTTAGTATGGAAAGTACAGTGTACTCGTCATTTCAGTATTCCGGTACATGTGCAGCGTAGCATAGTAAGATATTAAACTAGAGTTTCATTGCAAATCTAAATTTGCATATTAAGTTTATCATAAATCTGCTAGATAAGTAAGCTGATAAAACAGCTGAAAAGTTTTGTGGATTATATAAATAAGTTTATTGTGGAATATGATCTTGGAAACTGTAAATTGTGCCTTAGTGCAGTTGCAGAAATTTATTAGAAACTTGTTGGTAAAAGAATGACAGTTTTGAATATTATATATTTTTTATTTATGAACCTAGAGGCAGTGAAAAAATGAAATTCCCATCTTTTCTCGTTAAATATTTTTGTCCAGTGTAATTGTCTGTTGTTGCATTTCAGTGCAGAATTATAGTAGTATTGCACATTAATTTGGTGTTTTATATTAAAAATCAAAGTGCATAAGTACTGTATACTTACTTTTGAATATTTAAAAAAATTAGGCTTGTTCTTCATTTTCGTTATCTATGACTACAGTATATAAAAAATTATCAATGGAGCAAACCAGAACAAAGTCAGGATTTTATTTCTTGTCCCAAATTGTGTAATAGTAACTATATAGTTGTCGGAGCATAAGTAAAAAAAAAAAACTAAATTGCTTTGTCAGGAAAAGGGTAATTTTAAGAAATATTTTCAAGAATATGCAGTGTGTAGCCATGCCAAATTTTCAAATTTTTAGTGGGTAACTTAATCATTTTTGGATAACCACATTCTTATACCTGACTAAGTGTTCTTGAATTGTGTAAAAAAAATTTCAAAGGTAATTATATTCTGTTAAAATGTGCGAGAGTATTGTTGAATGTCGTGTTTTTATTTTCTAATTTTATGAAGTGCTCATCTATTTATACTTCAGCATGTTTGATAAGAGCAAAGAAATTGTAGGAATTAAAAAAAGAAAAAATTATCATGAAAGAATAAGGAAGACATTTGTATTCATCTGTAATTTCTTTCGTATCTGACATGCTATACTTAACCAACTGATGCGTGTGTATGAGCAGGTCGATTTGGTGTATTTTTTCACAGAATTGTTTTCTAAAACTTCGTCAGTGTAAGGAGACTTAGTCTCGTGTTTAAGGGACTGACAAGAGCAAATCAAGTTGTGAAAGATTATTTTGTAGTTTTTCCTAACTTTATACCTTTTTTTGGAGTACCGTAGTAACTGACACAAGCATTAGTGTTCAAGTGGATTACTGAATGTTTTGCAAGACTAATTTGTATGTCAAACATGTTCATTTTTTGTAACTTTTGTTTTTATTACTGCCCTAATGATTGAAGATAGAGGCCTTCTAGTTAAAGAATAACAATAGTTCTCGACTGACTTGGCCTTGTGTATTTTATTAATTAGTTAAATGTGTTGGATTTGACTGACTACTTGAGTTTCTACAAAATTAGTACTGAAAATTTAGAAAGGCACAATACCAATGGTTGTCTGGAGCAGTACACAAATAATTCGCAGATAGGAGAAAGAAGCTTATGATAACATAGGTCCCACTGTGACCACAAATGCAAGTTTTTACAGATTAATCTCCCACCAGCATAGCCATGATGAACTCTAGCTCTGGTCCTCTCAAAGCCGTTGTCATGACTCAGGCTTATGAAGTAGTTTCGGTTGGACTGAAACGTCGTTATAAATTTCCATGTGCGGGTTATCTGTGTACTGATAGTTTGTTGAGGTAGCTTAATGCAAGTTACCAAAGCTAGAGTTTAGTGCCTATGTACAAAGATTTGGGAGAGGCTAAAATTTTGAATGGCAACTTTGAGACAACCTAGTCGCTGGCAACGTTATCCCACCTGAAGTTGGTCAAACACCTGGTGAGTAAAACTCTTAGAAGCTACAAAGCATTAACCCTTCAAGAAAGACCATCCCTTCATAGTGTACCTTCTGCAGTAGGAGGACTCTTGATTGGAGGCATTAGACTTCCTATTCCTTCTCCCCCCCTTTTTTTTTCTATCCATCTCCTACAGGCAAGGTGACTAAAAAGAAAAAGCTGAAGTTTTTTCTTCATCCATTCAGTAATTTCTTATCCCCTTCCCTAGATTAAATCCAAATACCTCCAACCCTTCTGTGGTTGTGTATTATTATTATTATAATCGAGGGGGAAGCGCTAAACCCGGAGGATTATACAGCGCATGGGGGGGGGGGGTGTGGAAGGCATTCAGGCTTAATTCGGGGAACTGGAGCACAGATCCAATTCCCTAAATCAAGAGCCCCTCACCAACATCAAGGAACCTTCCTTGAGGGGTGTGGTTGTGTAGTTCTGCTTCAGAACAAGGGACCACTATCAGCTCTGTTCTAACATTTCTGACGTTACTAGTGTTGTGGTGGTTACCCATTACAGTGGACCCTCGACTAACGATATTAATTGGTACCCGAGAACGATTATCGTTAGTAGTTTTTTTAATGTTAGTCGAGGTAACATGTTAGCATTAACATATCGTTGGTCGAATTTAACGTTAGTCGATGCCATCACTGGCCGAGGGTCCACTGTATTATTATGAAAATGTTTATTTCCTTGCAAAGCTTACAATGTGTGGTTTACACACAAAATATTAATTACAAAGAAGGCCACTAGCATACCTAGGCATTTTGGACAGACTAATCCTAATTGCTACTCTATATAGACACAGGTTATGGAACAGTACATTTTAATATACATTATTGCATACTGATATAAAAGTTAGGTAATTGAAGTGATTAACATTAATCTGATAATGAGGTAGTACAAAACACAATAATATTACAATTAGTTAATTTTGTAATTGGAATGGTTTTATCTTGGCATGATACTGTTGCTATTAAAGCTCCTATATTGGCAGAGTATTTAAGGCAAACTTAGGATGAACTTAAAATTTATTAGGCAATAAATATTATGTATTAGGAAATTTATGTTTACTGTCATTTGGGTGAGTGTTAGTGCAAAAAAAAAGGGGAATTACAGATAATGAGAGATAATGGATGTGTTCATGATACAAAAAAAAAAAAAGGTGGTTTTCACATAGCTGATGGTGAGGTGTGTTAGGGAGATGAGGTGTTTTTTAACGGTAGTTTTGAAAATGGTGGTAATCTGTGTTGCTAGAGTTTTCGGGCAGGGAGTTCCAGATTTTAGGCCCTTTTAAGTACAGTGAGTTTTTGTAGAGATTTAGCTAGACACAAGGAATGTCATAAGAGGTTTTAGTGTCTGGTGTTGTGTCTATGGGTTCTGTTGCAACTATCGAGAAAGTGTTTTAGTTCAGGGTTAATATTATAATTTATGGTTCTGTAAATGTAGGATGCACAGTAGTAAATGTGAATGTTTTGCATAGTGAGTAAATTCAGGTCTTTGTGTGTGGGGGGGGGGGTTGTCTAGCATTGGATTGCGTGATATTTCTTACTGCAGATTTTTGTTGGGCTATTGGCTTTAGGTGGGTTGCTGCTGTTGATCCCCAGGCACAAACAGCATAGGTGAGGTAGGGATAGAAGAGTGAATAGTATAGTGTGAGTAGGGCTGATTGTGGTACAAGGTTATGTATCTTTGAGAGGATCCCAACTGTTTTAGATAGTGCTTTTGTTATATGTTGGATATGGGTGTTGAATTTCAGGTTTTTGTCAAGGTGCAGACCCAGGAATTTGCCCTCATTATGTTTAGCAATAAGAGTGTTGTCAGTCATAATGTTCAGCTGGGCATCGCCTGTTCTGCTCCCCAACGTAACGTAGAAGGTTTTGTCAATATTAAGTAAATTTATTGGCAGTCATCCAGGTCAATATTTTTACTAACTCTTCATTAACAATAGTGTTGAGCGAGGCAAGATTAGGGTGAACCATACCCCCGGCCGGGATTGAACCCGCGGTCATAAGAGTTAAGATTAGGGTGGGAGGTAACATAAGTCGTATTGTCAGCAAAGAGAATAATCAAAAACTAAGTGCTAAAACCACAAGGGTCATATAATGCTGCAGTTGCCCACAGACATTTGATGATCTGGCGGGGGCTGCGACTGTAACATTAGAGCTGCCCAGTAAACCAGGAAAAGAAAATGCAAGGTCAGTGGTCTTCCGATAATCATTCAGTTTTGCTCTGTGAATTCTGGCAGTGCTGGCCTTGATGGGTACTGGGTAGAGCAGGAATTTCCAGGTTACAGCGACACCTGTCACTGGAAGTAGCCTTCTTTCAATGTGGATATGTGATAATAAATGAGAAGCAACATTCTCATGGACTGTTGCTTCTCATTACCTCACGAGCAAGATGATTCAAATTAAAATTTTTATCTTTTAATGGTGTAAATAATCATGTAGTTTACATGTAATATATATACTTTTAGGCATAAAAGGACACTGGTATGCAAATGTATTTTGAGCATGAAACCCAGAAAAACTTTCAGGAACCTGGTTCTAGTGTTCATACCATCTTTGATCCTCACTTGTGTAATGTACCCACTGTCTTTCACGATGCAGAGATTATTCTCTATTCACACATCTAAGGAGAGACTGGCACACAGCCATCTTCCTAAAAACCTAGTCACAATACAGAAACATTTCTTCCCCAGATCTATGGGACTGTCCTCATCTTGCACTAATACAATTTACACACTGTGGCTTGCACATTTTCAAGCAGCTCTGAAAACGTGCAAGCCTATCACCAAAGTTCAAACTTGTCCATCTATCCCAGTGACAAAAATATTCGAGAGATTTAGACAAACTATTAATAGAATGCTGACCACCTGTCCTCATCATAGGAAAGTTTAAGGGAGCTTACACTAATACCAATGCTAGTGCTTAGTCCTGACTCTTAAGTTAACAAGTTTGTTTATTTAGACATGGGTATGCTTACAATTATCATCTATAAATTACCTAGGATAATCCTTAGTCTTACTTATTTCCATTGGGGTGCTTTGGCCACTGTGAAATATTCTCACAGGCAGAATGTTCAGGCTGCAGAAATCATAATTCAAGCTACTTGTCTTAATTGTGGCAAAACCCCCCCTTCTTTTTCCCATCAGTTTATCTTAAATATGTGGAACAGTCCTCTTCAAGGGGGGCTCCTTGGCGTGGTGAAGAGGCTCTTGGTCCTAATTACTCCCCAATCCCCCGTTCCCTATCCCATCCTCCCCATCCTCCCCTTTTTCCTTTCCTCCTCCTCCTCCCCACCCCTCCCTTTTGCCCTTCCTTTTTGGCCTTTTTTTTTTTTTTTTTTTTTTCCCACAGGCACGCTAGTTCCTAGGTAAGGGAAAGGGTACCAGGGTCCATCCCATTCCGTTGAGGTTCTTGGCAGTGGCGTAGTTTGCCGTGGAATCTGGATTGCCTGGGGATGTCCTGATCCCTCTCCAGTATCCCGGAGGGTGGCTTTGGGTGTCTCTCGGGCGACGGGTGTATCTCTGGAAACCACCTTTCGGATTCCGGGGGTGGTGGCCGAAGGAGGTATGCTTTGTGGCGGATTTCCGGCCGCCCTTTCTTTTGTCCACCGAGGTAGCTCGGCAGATGTGAGGTTGCTATCCCGGATTGCCGGTTTACTGGCATGATGGGTAGGGTATGGCACGGGTTCTATGCTGCATCTGCGCTACTTGCGGTGCTGAGGTCCTCTTGGGCGCGGCGGGAGATTTCTGGCCCTTTCATTCCTCCTAGGAACTATCCCTCCCCGGTCCCCCCTTTTTTTATTTATTTTTATTTTCTTTTCTTTCTTTTTTTTTCTTAAAAACAAAAAGAAAGAAGTAACCTAACCATGGCAGCCCTAGTCCATGAACCTGCTACCCCCGGGCCCCTTCTTGATACCGCACCCCGTTCTGACCCCGCCCCGTCTTTGGACCACTCTTCAGACACTCCTCGTGCCTCTGTACCTCTTGCCGGTGCTGTTTCCTCACCCGCTTCAGGTACTGAGGCCTCGATTGACTCCTTCGATTTATCTGGCCTTCGCTCTCCTCTGACTATGCTTCTGGCCTCTCCCTCTACGGTGCGGCAATTTTCGAATCGCCGGCCCATTCCACGTCGGACCAACTCTGGTCCCACGCCTAAACGACAACGACAATTACCTGCTGATGATACTTCTCCCCTTCTCGTTCTTCTCAGAAAAGATCGACACGTCCTTCACTACCTTTCCACGCTCAGTTTCAGACTGCACAATGGACTAAATTCTTCACTTTACGACCGACTTCCTCTACTGCCTATCTTTCTGACCACAGTATTGGCAAGGTACTCCTACGCCATGTTGGTAAAGATATTTCTTTTCATGCTCTTAAGAGCGGTACGCGCATCGTCACCGTACAGAATGCTA